TATCATCTATCTATCTATCTATCTATCTATCTATCTATCTATCTATCTATCTATCTATCTATCTATCTATCTATCTATCTATCTATCATCTATGCCAAATACCACTCACTCATCATGAAATCTTCAGAACCGTAAAGCCTACAAACTTGAAATTTGACATGTATGTTCCTCTTGGCATCTAGGTGCTAGCTAAGAAAGGATTTTTCAAAATGACCATTAGATCATTAGTATTTTTATACAGTAATTAACACACTCTGATGCTAAGCAGTTCTACTCCCACCTGAAAAGAACTCTGTTCCAACTGCCAGTTGCCTCATATTCCATTACCTCAGTTCAAACTTGCAGATGTTCCACTTCTTCATTCAGGAGCAGTCTGTGGTACCTTACAGTACTAAATGTAGGTACCTCACCAGAATGTCTACGCCTTCCACCTATGCAACTGCTTCCGGACTCAAGGCGGCGGGAGCGATATCCCCTTATGTATTTCAATATCCCCTTATGTACTTCAATCACCGACCACCACTGAGCCAACGGATTGAACCGGATTTCTCCTGCGCTGCCCGATCATATAGTTTTGTCATGAAGCATGGGTATCCAGATAGTGCCTCAATATAATGCATGCAGTATATATTACTAATCTGTTCTGTAAGCATCTTAGATATGTACACCATTTCAAGCACCCACAATAGAAAATAATTTGCAATCTATTTGCTGCAGTGTAAAAACCAAGCAGGTAAATGGATTGTGAAACTAGCCAGTATGATCTAGTGGTTAGGACACCTGATTAGAAACTGAGAGATCATGAGTTCTAGTCTCTCCTTAGGCATGAAAGCCAACTAGATGACCCTTAAGACCAGTCCCTCTCTCTCAGCCCAACCCATCTCACAAGGTTGCTGTTGTTATGGGGAAAATTGGAGGAGGAAAGTGTGTTGGATGTATTCATTGCCTTGAGTTATTTTAAAAATAATAAAAGTGGGATATAAACAAATAGAAACACTCCTCACTATAAAAACAAACCTACTCTCAACTGTTGCTTCTTACGCCATCTCCACTCCTTAGCTCCCTTTGATCCATCACATGTGTCAAAGGTGCAACTTTTGAAGACCTTAGAGGGAAGCCTCACTGCGTGAGCTGAATTCTCTTTATTCCTCTCTGCATTCAACAATTCAGCTTTGCTCTCTGACCTCCCAATGTAGTATTTATATTTAAGGGTGTTACTTGACAGAATTACCTGATGGAAAAACTTCCAATATTTTCAAACAATGTTACAAACATTTACAGAAAACCTACCTGAGATGTCTGAATATTCTTCTGCATTAAATGTCAGCTCATTTTCAGTAGGCAAGTTGACAAATGCCTTCATCGCAGGGAAATAAGCTATATGGCCATTACTGACTTGCCGTAGCAAAGTTTCCAGATACCTTAACAAAAGGAAATGTATGTTCACAGTAGAATTCACAGCATATCAACTCTGACAAGATCTATATGAAGTTTTGTCCTTGCTAATATACATAAAACAACCGGATGTATTAAATGCCCATCTTCAGAACATTTAATATTCAGTTAAAAACAATTTGCAATTTCCTTAATTGGAAACTAAAAAAACTTCACTTCGTGAAATTCAGTAAGCTGATATATTAATTAATATCCCTGGTACAGCCTCTGAAGGTTTGAATGAGGCTAAACTGAGAATGTATTACTTTAAAAAAAACTTTGGCCACTATACAAGAGATTTGGAACACATAATTGGGGTAACCTAGGCTGTCAGGCTTCAAGGAATATTATCTGTTTCTGTAAAAATATTATCTTTTTGTAAAAAAAGAATTTAGAATCTATTGGATCACTAAGGAAATAATTTTAAAAGATTATCTTAATGCTTTCTACATAGATGAGTATATGAGTATACACTTGTCATTCTATATCGGTTAGGAGTTATTGCTATTGTGAACTATGTTTTACTTGGAAAGCAGTCGGAGTTAAAAAATATTAATGTTTTATTATACTGTCTCTAAAAATGTAAATCTTTTAATTTATGAAGCTCTTAGGATATACTTTTGGAAAGAAAAGGTAATTATGTATTCCTAAAAGAATACTTGAGTCCTTTGGGATATATATTGGTTTGATAATATCTGGCAACTCTGTCTTTGAATTTGCTTTGAACCAAATCAGAAGCAAAACCGGATACTATTTGGGTTTAATTCAGTTAAAAACTGAATCTTAACGTGGACACTGAAGACAAGAAGTTTTCTTCTTTCCACTTTTTAAAAAAGAAATATTAATTTAGGACTAGATGTAATTCAGGTAGGTGAGGTTTTTATAGTTATTTTAAAAGCTTCCCCCTTCCTGGTACAATGTGTTTGAGGGATGCTTAATGGTTTTTTTTTTCCCTTTTGAGAGCATGCTTTTTCCTTTCCGTTTCTTTTTCTCACTATACAGTTTCTTTTTAATGTATTCTTTCAAAGCACATAGTTTTTTTATTTCATGGTAATGTAGTTCATATAGTTATACTGATACTAAAACCCAAGTTTTTAAAAGAAGTATTAATTGCAATGTTTTTAAAGTTTCAAAGTTTTAAACTTGGAAGTTTTTTTTTTTTTTTTTTTTTAAAAATAAGGTCTCTTGAGATATTCAGTTTCAAGCAGCATAATGAAGCAGGGCACACTGTTCTCTTTCACTTGGGCACTCGTTCTCAATCATTTTTTTTTAGGTCTGAAAGTCCGTCTCTTACAAAACATAACAGGGGAAACAGTCATTCAAATTCTTACCAATTTGTGTATAGACTGGTGATAGTTGGCTCCCCGTGGCTATCTAAATGCTGGGTTTGCTGAAGAAGGACATTATTAAACACTCTTGTGATGTCAATCTGTACATAATTTTCTATTGACTGAAGCACTGTCATATAAGCTCTGACACTCGTTAACAATTCTGAAGGTTTTGCAATTTCTTGGGTTGCCTGATTATACATTGTCATCCCAACAATTGACCTTTGTAAAAATGAAAGAAGTTATTATCACATTAGTGTCATGCAGGTGCCAAATAATAATGTAAACGAAAAGTCTTCAGAAAAGCAAAACCTGGCTTTAAACGACTATAACACACAGTTTTTCATATCTTCTGATGTTTTCCTGCTTTTCTAGTACCAATAAAGGATTGGTACTCAGCTCAGGGTTGAAATGAGGGGTTCTTGATGCTCTCTGAGCTTGATTGTTTTCCTGTAGAAGTTTTCTTGCAGAAGTTTCATTATCCAAACTAGTAACATCATCAGTGCTATTAAGAAGTGGGCTTTGCCCTCAGTTTATATTTATAAGTTTATAGAATATAAACTGAGCGCAAACCACACTCCTTACTAGCACTGATGATGATACTAGTTTGGATAATGAAATGTCTGCAAGAAAACAACCAAACCTCATGGGTTTCTAATGACACTGATTGCTTCGCCCATGATTGGAATTAAAATGTTTAACAGGCTACAAGTTTCCATACAGAGATGTTGACGCATGCTTTGATCTACCTGACATAACTGGACTGGTAGGATTAATCAAAAGCAACAGACTCTTGTGTTTGTAAAAACAATAGAGGTGCTTATTGCCAAATGTCAACCAACTAGGATCTTTCTAAGATTCAATGATTCTACTTGTTTTGATATTAGGGACAGGCATATCCCACTATCTAAACTTAAGGTGCTTGTCATGAATACCTGATTGCTATGCTCATAACCTTGGTAATACTATAATCCCTATAAAGTGACAAAAGACAAAGCACAATATAGTTCATGACTGAAAGTAAGCAGTCGCACAACTATAAAGGTGTGTGTCAACTTTATAAAGCAGGGGTGTCAAACTCGTGGTGACACATTGTTGTCACATGACTTTTCCCCCCTTCGCTAAACCGGGGGTGGGAGGGTCCAGTGAGTAACACATAGCAATAGCAGTAGACTTATATACCGCTTCATAGGCCTTTCAGGCCTCTCTAAGCGGTTTACAGAGAGTCAGCA